GCAGAAGGCCATACTGAAGAAGAAAAAACGACATTAAAATTTGGTATCTTATTAATTTCTGTATTTTATAGGTCGCACAATGACAAAGTTTTGTAATACATTTAGCTTGTCCGAAATAATTATATTAAAATCAAGCTAATTATTTCTAATGAAATATGTGTGACATAGCTTCATTTGAAGAAGCTTAGATTAATATATTGGGTTTATGACAAAACATCAACCAGACGATGGGAAATCCATTTGATTGATGCGATGTGTAGGAAGTGGACCAGATGTCACCGAGATCACGAGCTTCCATTTTAAGTGGTTACGTTCTCACCGGCATCATTTTTGAAGAAATATGGACCGATGATGCCACCGGTCCTCAAACCACACTGAACAATTCTATACTTAATTTGCGTGGGAGCACACACCACTGATCCCATATTATTATAACAAAAGTAAGGGTCTCGGTGTATCAATAATTATGGTTTATTCCGCAATATAATAATAATGTATTTTACATTAGCGAAATTAAATAGATAACATAAAAAATTATATTGATTTGTGGACGGAATCGAACGCAGTACGGGTCGTATCGAATTGATGCGTTATCGCGCAGGAACTGTTGTCGAAACTAATTGTTTTAGCGAAATGTGTTGAATTGAAGATCCAATCCCTTTTTTATTGTTGAATGTATGTAATGTCATCGTGTGTGGTGGTAACTTGTGTGGGGTGAGATCCTGTGTAGTGTGGTCGTGTATATTGTGAGTGTGAGTTGTGTTCCAAGGTATGGTGTGTTGTATTAGGGTGTGTCATTATTTACCCTGATGGAGCGGTGTAGTAGGAGGGGGAGTTTATAGTCATTTAAACATCCTGGGCCCCCTAGGCGAATATTTTGCCTAGTAATACAGATATGCTGTAAATGTCCCAGGTATCACGGCGTACTGCAGTTGGAGTAGCCGAGGGCGCGGTATGCATAAGGCAGTAGTGGTATATTATATATCTGTAGGTATAACATAAGAGGCGATTTTGGTTTTATATAAAATTTTGTATTTGTATGTTGGTACTAGCGCTCTGATAAGATAAGCACCTTTATTGTGCGTGAATGGATCATATTGATATACCCTTATATGAATTTTCTGGCTTGTCGACTTATTATTATCTGATACTTGTACATACGTTATATTTATTGGCGATTATTTATTATTTCTGTATTATCAGCTTATATTGTAGTATAGCGACTCCACGCCTGGCTGAGATATGGTCAGAATCTGTGCTTCTTTCAAACCTTTGAAGAGGGATTCTGCGAGAGTACAGTGATAAGCCGTGAATTGAGAATGGCTTTTTTCAAGTTGGTATGTGGTAAATTCGATATATTTATGTTTGAAATCTCCAGCTACTTTTTTGAAGTAGGATTTGAAGCTTTGTATAGCTGATTCCCATAAACTACCTATATGAGGAGCGCTTAGATAGATGCGATAAGTGCTACCTTTGCTGTTTGTAAGTCTAGGTGCGTGGTGGTGTCTTTTGTGACAATATAAGCAATTGAATTTGCTTTTGCAATTTTTATATTTATGCGCATGTGACAAGCAATTTGTACATAATATTTTTGATCTTATAAAAATGTTTCTTTCGTGACTTTTTAATTTTTTAAACATCTCGCAAGATTGTAGTTTATGCCCTCTTATGCATAGTTCGCTGACGTATATTTATTCTGTTCGGATGTGAACGATTACATTTTGTAAAAGCTTCTGTTAATATTGTTGTTGCTTCTAGCTTGGGGTCTATTTCGGCTTCTATTAAGGTCGTTTTGATAGTTTTGGGTTTTAATAATTTTTCTGTCTACCCTTTTAGCGATTTTATTTCATTTGTTGTATACCCTAATACACGGATTTGTATGTATATATTTATGTGCTCGTGCAATTTTATTTTTTTGTGTACGCAATTTTGTTTGACTGTTACAAGGGGTATTGCGGGATGTATGCCAATGTGGAGTTTGAAAAGATGTGTATTTTTGTTTTTAATAAATTATGTATTATTATAATTGTTTTTCGTTTCTAGTAGTGGTAATTTTACCATAACGTTAATTATTTTATTTTTTTGTAATTTTACAACTTTTTACATTGTAAATTTTCCCAATGTATGTAGGGTATGCTTATAGATTCTATGTTGTTTGTAAAAATATGTATGTTTGTGTATGTTAATGCAATAGGCAAGCGAATATGTATATATGTATGATTGTTTGTTGTTTTTTTTTTTTTAGATTATTGTTTTGTTTTTTAGTTTGCCGTTTACTTACTTTTAAGCAATCCTGCTTATAGCTTTATTTTGCGAAAGGGGTGTTGCCGGACAAATTTGCAAGTAAATACTTTAATAATTTTTGTTTTTTGATTTTTTGTGTTTGTGGAAGAGTGTGTTTATAAACACAAAGGTAAGCATATATGTAAAGGCATTCGATAATTTTTTTTTTAATTGGATATATATTATACCAAACTGTTTTCGGGTCTTCCGGTAAATTAAGCCCGCAATTATGGCAGTTTGGTAACCGTTTTTAAGTTGTTAAAACGGATTTTCTGTTACCAGTTTAGTATTGAGTAAAACTGTATTGTATTTATGCGTACATATTTACATATAATAAATAAAAGGTGAAATAAATACGCTCACTCTGTTTTCCTTTAAGGGTTTTTGGGGATAATGTGTCTGTATATACATATGTATGGTATGTGCGTGTGGTAAAATTCATGTGCTCCTCTCCGATATGCTTCCAACTGGTATGCCTTGTGATGTTGTTTGTTAAATTCGCGCCCGCTTCTTTGTTTTTGAATTTATGTATGTTTTGTAGTAAGGTGTCTTAGTTTTCCGCGCCCGATTAGTGTTTATTGTTTTTTTTTTTTTGGTTTAGCGCACATTTGTGTTTTAATATGTTTTTTTTTGTTTTTTGCAGCCTAAGTGTTTTGTTAGGCCTAAGTGTTTTGATTAGTGCATTTTTATGTTTTGAAGTTGGCATTTTACTTTTTTAAATATGTATATATGTAGCTAAGCATGTATATATGTATGTACATATATTTTTTTCGCTTGTGCTTTATTGTTATAATAACTTAAATATATATATTTATATATTTTTTGTCACCGCATTTGTTTTTGTTAAATATATGTATTTATTATTGTATTTTGCACCGCACTTTTGGTTTTTGCCACACCACTTCAACCTTTTCTATTATTTTGTATTTTCTTCACTGGGTGCTGGACGTAGTATATTCAATTATGAATGCTGGGTCTCAAGATGGGTAAAGGTGTTATACAGGTACACTCAGTAGGCCAATTATGCTAACCAGAAGTTGAGCATAGCGCGCAAAACACATTCTTTACAGAACGTGAAGCTTCGTAAAAAAGTTGAACAATTTGTAAACGTTGTTCAGGCGTAAGTCTTTCCATGATGAAAGGCCAAGCAATACTGAACAAAAATAACATGACAGCTTGACACGACTTACGCGTGAGCTGTCCAAAAAAAGTATCTCTTATTGGATTAGCCATTATTAGTGATATTTTTTTATTTAGGCATTTTATCTATTTTAGGCATAAAGTTAGACTTTCATTTGAGGGAGATTCTCCCTTAATTTCATTAAAATAACTCGCATATTGACATATATGTGCGGATTAAAATCAACTGGATGTTAAAAAAGTTTTCTACATGATAGGCGTATATATATATATACTTAGCCAACATAAATATTGGCTTATCAAAAGCTATCTTAGCTTATAAATATATTAAACTAGAGGCATTGTCAGTTGATTGTTTTTTGTTTGGTTCAAAATAGTTGGGGTTTCGTGAAAAAAGTATTTGGCAATAACGTAAACCTTATTTTAACAAATGAAAATGTAAAGAAATCAAATTTATAGATGGGAATCGGGTTAAAATTAAGACGTAATTAAAGCTTAGTTAGTTAAACATAGTTAAAGTTAACAATGATGGTTTCTAACATAACCGTTTGAGAACGTTCTGAATGGAACCATCATCGGCATGTTTGGTTGATATAGATATATATTACGATATTTAGAGGTTTGTGAGATATATACATTAAGCCAATTAGGGTGCCGCAGGGCCTGAAGCTTAGTTGTAGCACTTTAAAGGTTTTCTCTCAATGCCATTTGGTGGGCGTGGAAAGGGTCAGACTATTGTACCGTCCTCCCTAGTTGACCAAAGTTTTATGACGATATTTCAAATATTACCCTAGTTACAGCTTGTACAGACAGACCGACGGACGGACAGATACTCACCCAGATTTTAACTCGTCTCGTTATCGTGATCATTTTTATATACAAGTATGTATCTTTATAACTGTATCAATAAGTTTTTAGTGATAAAAACAACCGTTAGGTGAAAAAAACTATTATTCTCTGTAGCAACATGTTGCAAGAGTATAAAAATTCGAACTTTAAATAGTTGAAAATTGCAACTTTAACCGCAAATAATATATGTGTACCATCTAAAATATATAAACCGAACACACCCACCATTGCTTTATTTCAAGATTGTTTAGACTGATGTCCATATGGAAAATTTTTGAGAAATGAAAATGATAATATATTATATAGAAGTAATATACATATATTAAAATAAGCAAATGAACAAGTATAAACTGAGAGCAAGATAGAAAAATGAATAGTAAAAGCAGAGAATGTTAGTGGATCGAGAAGACCCAAATGTTCTAAAACGTGCATTTTATAAGATGGAACACTGAAAGGTTTTCGCAGTTACAGTACGCCATCTCTTCGTAGACCGAATATAAACTTTCCGTCTGTCCATTTGATCTTAAGCATATGGATATAAGTTTGAACACTTACCCAAATTTAGAAAAAATTTCAAATTATATACAAATTGTGAATTCCTAGATATCGTATAAGCTAAATTTAGAGAAATATAGCAATTATTAGGGTTTTCACTGCTCAACTAGCTTTTATGCCCTATTTTAATAATGTCATGTGATAATTTAAAAGCTTTTTCTTTACGGACATACCTGACTTAAATTTTCGAAATTTTCGTATTTGATTGGATGATGTCCCAACTTGAGAATTATATGAAATATCATCAATTAACTGAGTACTGTTGGAATCATTGAGTTTCAAAGACTAAAAAGCTTATTTTATTTATTCTGTACAAAAGAAACATTTTATTCGGCCTTACCCTAGAAAACTCCAATGGATACATCATTATTGGCTCGCCTCTACTAATTTCAATTAAATATGGTGACATAATTTTAGCTTTTGATCTCTGTTTTGCATCAAATATTTCATCAAGGATTAGAAATTTGTCGACCCTTTCAATGTTAAAACTGGGGTTTACACGAACGTTTACCAGCAGATGCCTCCGAATTTGATGGTAGTTTTCCAAACGTTCTCGATTGTTCTCTTTAATTTTTTTTGAGCACTCCAATAGTGCTGCAGTAACAATGGGAACTGCCTCCGAAGTCATAGGTAAAGAAGTAACTGGAGTTTCCATGAAACTATGTTCGGCTCCATTAACTGTATTAGACAATAATAATAAAACCACCAAAATGCTGCTAATTTCCATTTTTGTTTTAAAATAGCTGTACACAAAAATATTGAAATTATTTTTAAAACTGATTTTTGAATCAATGTGATATGGGTACGCATATAAATATATAAATAGAGTAGGATCCAACGTTCATAGAATAAACGACCATTGAACTAACAGTGGGACAAATGTGAAAAAATATATTATTTATGTTACTGTGTTTTATGCGTTCTTTGTTCAATTATCTGTTATATCTCAATTAAGAGATCTTATTTGATTTATTGAATTAAATTGAGTTTATGGGTCGGCTTAAGAATACCGTCAAATGATTTAAGGAATAAAATGGGTATGGGCGGATAGAGGAGGTCCTCGAGCTTAAGAATTTATCACGGGAAACTTATAGTTTTCGAGATATTTCCGTTTTAAGTTGAAAATTTTTCAAATTACGGATTTTTTCGATTTTAAATGTATTTTACACTAATATTTCACTTTTATATCCACTAACACTTCACTTATTCGTTTATACCCATTTATTTCCCCTAATATATTTTTGCAAAGTTCTATTTATTTTCGCAATAACTAAACAGTTGCATACTTACAAATAACAAGGTGTTAATACCACCACTTACGTGCTACGTCAACTCCGCGTATATGTTAATGAAATAAGAATCGTATGGTTTTTAATTTCAAAAATATTCACAAACTTTATTTCCTTTTTTTTAAAAATATTTACAAGGATTAGCTTAACGCACTCCCTGGTCGCATACCAGTGGAGAGGTAGTAAAAAATGTTGTGCAGTACAAATTGCAAGAGTATAAAGAGATGGTTGATAGTCGGAATGAATTCACGCGCGCCAAAGAAATGGTGTTTTTTACTCGACCGTCGCTGGTAGAAGGGCCGTCCGCTTCGAGGACAGATAGTTTTGTACTGTGTGTTGTGTAGAGATCCTAGTCGGTGTGTGTGTGTGTGCGGCTGTATGATGAGTTGTGTAGGCGGTTTCCAGGTCTGGTGTGTGTGCCAGTGTTGCATTGTATGTGGTGTGTTTGAGTTCTTCGGGGCAGGAATCTTAACTCATTTGGCCACAAGGGTTGCCATACTAATATATTTTTCAAACATACAAAAATAAAACAAAAAGAAAGATTATACACCAAATACATTAACAATAATTGTTGATTGACAACTTTCGTTGTTGATTTACGTGAGTATCAATACAATGCGTTGATAAGCGCCCCAAATAATACGAGCTATTTGCAAGTATTAATTTGGTTACCAGTAGCAGTGTGTCTGGGCCCACACTACCATCTTGGTAAGATTCGAGGCCGACCTAAAACCTCTTCCGTTTTCGGGTACGGAACCCAGTTTCTTTTTGCAACTTCTTTTTAGAACTGAAAAAACAGTTAGACTGAATTTTCAGTTCTTCCTGGAGGACCTCCTCTATTGGCATATACCCATATTTTTAAATACTTTTTTTTAGCTTCACCTCTCTTATTTGTATACTCTTGCAACATGTACATAGCTACAGATTATAATAGTTTTGTCACCTAACGGTTGTTTGTGTCACCTGAAACTAATAGGATGACGCGACGCGTTGAAATCCGGGTAACTGTCTGTCCGTCCGTCTGTCGGCCCATGCAAGCTGTTACTTGAGTAAAAATCAAGATATTCTAATGAAACTTGGTGCACATGTTCCCTGGCAAAAAAGTAAATTGAGTTCGTAGATGGACGTAGTCGGGCCACTGCTACGCCCACAATAAAGTGCCATAATTAAGCCATAAATGAAGATACAGATACATAAAATTCTCTTGATATTCCCATGTTACAATGCGAAAATGGAAAAAATCGAATCACAACTACACCTACTTCCCATAAAAGACAATTTTAAGTTCCATCTAATCCTTTGACATTCCAATATACAAATAAATTACCAATTAATATGACGGGATGAAACTTTGCACGAATAGTGCTTTCGCCACCTTATGACCAAAAAGTATGTAAATCGAACTGAAAATATATAATTGACATTCAGAAAGAATAGTTTCCTAATAATAGTATGTCTGTATGTCAAAAATAGGTTGAATCAGGTCAATCTTCCAATAACAATGCAGCTTTTTATCTAAAATTAAGTGAAAATTTGACCTAGCCCCTAAATAACTAATATTAGAATTTTGGGACAGCCTGCTGACTTTATTCCATATACATATGTATGTAGTTTGGTGATTGTATGTGGGGTATCTTAATGAAACCCAGTGGGCATTTTATTTGTACGTGGCATATTAGCATGTGGTATTGGCAAAAATATATAAAATCGGATCAATACTACCCCCAACTCCCATATACTACATACTATATAATGATTTTCGTTTTTCTAGCAAGTCTGATTGCAAATTTGTTCTTAAGTATATCTGAGCAATGTCCAAATTAATACAATCACCCTTTCCCTTCCCCCAATATATCCCATATAATGATTTCCGTATTTCCACCTGACTTTGAACCGTTAAGGGTGGTCAAATGTAATATTTCAATGAAATTATGTTAAATGGAAACGTTTTCTTAAAAATTATGTGGTTTAGCGCCGAATTAGAATGGAATTGGTCTAGACCATGGTCTAACCTCATATTCCTAATATAATGATCAAATTCAAGACCCCATAAATCCTACTTAACTTTTACTACTTTGTTTGCTAATAAATAAGTCTTTAACCTAAGTTTGTATGTGAACCTTACCTAATTTGAAATGAATGTCTTCTTCAAAATCATCTACTTTAAAATGTTTATACCAAATTTTTTGAAATTGGGTTTGAACTAACCTCTTCGTCGCAAAATATAACAGAAAGCTTTGGTAAATCGTCATTTTTTGAAGAGCTCACGAAAAATATATTTGATCCTAATAATATGCATATGTACCATATTGTGGCGATCACGAACACCAGAACAAAACAAAACCCACGATAAACTTCTAAAACCAACTAGATAGCGAAATTTGTATTTGTCAGAACGTTCGAGTAGCGAAGCTTTGTTAACAATCTACTATGTAAGGCTGCTTAATTGTGCAGCAGGGACAGTTCTAATTAGAGTGTTGCCGTGTTAAAAGCAATTGAGCTATAAGCAATAAGTTGTAAACTTAAATGACGAGTAATGAGTGTTAAGTTTTTTGGACTAGAAATAAAGATAAGTGAATAGCCATTAAATTGGGACTTTTTTTTAAACAATCCAGTGATCGAACTTCAGAGTGAGTTACAAGGTAGACGATTTATCGAGGTAAATAGGTATTTCTGTGATATACTGATACAAAAACAATGTCATGAATATCCTCTTATTAGTTGTTAGTTATTAGTATTATATTAGTAATCTGCTTGTGAACTTTCCATCGAAATTTGCAAATATCTAAAATGAATAAAAAGAATTCAAAATTATTTTCTTTCCTTTTTAAAGTAAATTATCTACATTATATTTTAAAAATAAATACATGCAAGTTTGCACACAACTCATATAAAAAGTTGAGGGCTACAATATTGAACATGGTACTAAACATAGATACTTGGATACAATAAACGTCAAAAATTGTACTGAAATTTTAACATTGTTTACTTTCCGTATCATTTTGTTCGATTACCTTAACATTGTTATTGTAACCAAACAAACGATTAGCACGGGTTACCTATGTTAAGGTAACCAAACAAAATATAAATTCTATATATAATATTATATACTTTGTATTGGAATTTTTATTAAAAATTGTTACGTTTTAGCACAAAATTGAAAGTGGAAGATTTCTTCATATTAACCTAAAATCTTTTGTAGGGTAAGAAAGTGTCAGCAAATATTCAACATAGAAATATACAATGTTGGCCAGTTATCACTACATTATTTTTACTTATATGTATATTATTATATTGCCAATATATGACCTCAATTATATAGTATCTAGATTACTTACTTATATTCAGTAAACTGTCAGTACCTCACACAAGACCAAAGGACAATAGTTTACGTTCAACTTCAGCACAGAATTAATTTCCTTCTCAATTGATTTACGCACAGCCTTTATGCCCAACACTTGGAAAATTTCAATTCGATACGCAGCAAGCATGGCGAAATGCGTGTTGGATTGATATCGGATATGATAGTCCTCTGCGTATAACTAGCAGTGTTGACCGTTAGCTTCCGGTGGTGTGCTCCAAACGACACAGCACATTCTTAGTCTTCTCGGCGTCCCGTTAGAGAGTTGTTAGTTTCTTGGGTATATTAGTAATTTCCTTTAGACGCCGCACACCTAATGGCAGAGAACTTAGAACAACGAGAAGGTGCAAATTGAATTTTGTATGATGCTCGATTGGTTGGCTGAAAAATTAAGATCAAGGAGTTCACCATTTTCTGTAGCATTTGCTGTTATTTAACAGAAATGAGAATTTCTAACAACCTTCTCTGACAAATTACGTATCTCCCAACATAAAGAGAAAAATGAAATGAAATGAATGAGAAAACAAAAAATACAAATGCCACTTCACATATGCATGATTATTTTTTGCCATATAAACGATTTTTATGATGAAAAATTGATAAAATATGATTTTTTTGCACAAATGCTACATTGATAAAATGTGAAAGATTATGCAAGAAATGATATTTTACTATTTTCATAATTTTCTAATTTCAGTTGTTACAAAATTCATAATTTATGTATGTACATATGTACATCAATATGTTATATTATATAATATACTTGTAATAATATATTATCAATTATCAATGAAAACATGTAAGCGCACTGCTCTATATGTAAGTATGTATGTACAAATATGCGTACGACCGCGCAAAATAAGTAATGCATATACAAATCTACATACATTTAAGCGTACAAATGTAAGTACGTCAGCCAATAGGCAGAATACAAACATTGTTGTACAAAAACAACAACTGTCTCAAATAGCATGAGCACCAAAAATCAATATGGTAGCCAAATCCTAAATTTGTAGTAAATCACACACCAACAACATTTTCATTCATGAACGCTGGCGCACACGCAATAAGCTAAGTCGTTTCATTCATAAAAGCAAACGCCTTACACATCTCCCCGAGCATGCGTTTGCCTACAAGCGTCTTTTCGCGACGATGGCAAAAGCTAAAAATCATAAATTGAACAAATTTCT